ACATAATAGTATATTATTGATAATAGGTGAATTAGACTATAATTAGACCCTAAAAAACCATATTTTTGTATAGCTTTATGGTAAAAAGCGATAACCCAAATGCTCTGATTAGTGCTTTTCATGCTTTGCAGGCTATATCCAATGAAAGAAGTTGGTGGAGCACTTTTGGGATCAATTACGGAGAAAAGGAGGCCAATCATACAATACCCACAAATTGCACCAAGCGAAGGGACAAAACCAGAGCTGAACCTGGCCTGCCGCGGTTAGACCGTAACCGCGGCAGGACCGCGGCAGAACATTACCAAAGATTCAGAGGACCATTCTGGCCGCGGTCCTGGCGTAACCGCAGTGGGACCGCGGCAGAACGCGGAAAAGTCAGGGACTAAAGTGTCAAGTCGGGAAAACTTGGTGTAAAACCCTTATAAGAAGTAGAAATTCGGCCACATTAGGGCAGACTTGTTTTGGAGAATACTTTTGCAAGATACACAAGTGTGAGAGATCACCCAAAAACATCATAGTTCTTTATCTCTTCTTTTTCTTGCTATTTTTCGATTATGAATATTTTCGTAGTTTATCCTTACATTGTTATGAGTAGCTAAATACTTTAGTATAAGGTTTTGATGGGACCTATTGAAGGATGAACTTCTTGATTATGTTAATATAGTTTGCCAGTTAATCTTTATTTGTTCAACTACGTGTTCGTTGTAGTTAATTGACAGGATCCTCAATTAGCTGTGCATAACTCGGAAGAGAGTGCATATTTAGGTAATTGTTGAACAATACCACTCCCAAAGTATAAGAGGGATCTATAACCGCGGGTTTAAAGGCGGGATTAGGGATAACGAAGCCTTGGGTGCAATCTAAAGTGAGCTATAATAAACAAAGTCAGCTAGCGTATCTCGGGAGAGTGCGTCTAGTAAATTATCGCGATTACTCGGGAGAGATTTACGGTAAAAAGAGTGCTCATGATTGATAAAGATGGTTTGGTGAATCTATATGAAACATAACCGGAAGGGATTCCATCAATAGGGGAAATCACTACCTTAGAACCTTCTCATTATTGTTTACAACCCAAGCATATTTAGTTTACAACTGTTTATTTACTTTCAGTCTTAGTCATTAGAAATACCATCAACTATTGTTTACAACGTTTGGGGAAGTTGATTATAAAGAATTTAATAAATCCAACAAAAGTAATTGATAGGTTAATTCTCTGTGGATTCGACTCTGGGCTTAAATACTCAGGTTATATTTGCAACGTCCGCGTGTCCTTTTATAAGGCATAGTTGGGCGAGATCAATTATCGTGGGGATTTTCTTCTCAATTTCAACGCTTTATGCAGTTCGTTTAGAATTTCTTTGACCTTTTCTTGGTATTGAATATTATAGATTGGTAATGTATTACCAATATTGAGGATTCTTATGAAATTAATTTTATTAAGCCTTCCAAATCAATGTAGAAAAAGGAGAGCGTATATTATATTATATTATATTATATATTATTATATTATATTTATTATTATTATTATTATTGTAAAAGTATGAATACAATATTGGTAGACTAAAATAGACCTAAATATTAAATTAAAACACTTTATGGGAAGGGATATAACTGTAATAACCTATTTTTGGACTATAACCTTTTATGTTAAACTTTTTTAATATTTAAGATTTTAAAATTAATAAAACTTTGTCTATTAAATTTTTATTAATAATATGTACGAATATTTAATAAAATTAATTTCATAAGAATCATCTATATTGGTAATATATAACTATTCTTGTAAAAAGGGAAAAAAGTAGATTCAGTGATTAGATATTTTAACTTGGACTTCACATGACTTTTTAGTCTTTGTTCTAAAACAAACCTGAACAAATATAAAACAAATCATGGATAAAATATACGGACAAAACAAACTAAAAAGTGAATTAATTTTGATGACAACTGTACCCTGGAGTTATTTGACTTTTAAGATGAATCTGTTTAGTTTACGATTTTTGTGTATTGTATTGAAGAAATAATTTAATTTTTACCACAATAGGTTAGAGGATAGTAATTGATTGGTATTACAATTCTATGCAATTTCATATTAGGAACAGGTTTCAAAGTTACAATTTTGTCCAACACGTACTCAAAGTCCATTAGAAAATTCTGTACGAAAAAAAAATGAGATTCTTACATTCCTATGCCACATAGGAAACCTTATTACCCTCAATATTTAAGGTTTGACTTAATTACACTTAGTATACCAAATTATTACTTTTATACCATAATTAATTAAGGGTATAATTAATTGTACATTTTTTACTCCTTAATTAAAGGAATCTGCACGTTTCTTTCTCCTAACCCCTCAGTCCCACCCACGTTTTACCTATACCCACGTTCTTTTTACCATTTTTCATCTTCTGAAACCAAATTCTATCTCTAAATTCACAGAAAATTGAAAAAACCCTTCAACAAAGTTGGTTCCCCATTTTATTCCAGTTGAATTTCATCAATGAATAACAACAAAGTTCATCAAAATTGAAGTCAAATCTTCAAAGTTCATACACACATTTACCTTCAGCTTCAAATTTTCTCAATGAAGAAGAACAAACCTTCAAAGAGACAAGAGAGCAGCAATTCCACCATTGACAACCATTAAAAAGCTTTGAATTCAAATTTGGATTTTCAAAAATCATTATTTATTTTGATAGGGTGTTGTTGAAAATAATTGAGAATATGTTTTGGAGTTTATATCTCAATTTTGAGGGGTTTTGGTGAAGATTAGACTTGGTTTTGACTGAAATTCAGATTGAAACTCGAAGAAGAAGAAGAAGAAGAAGAAGAAGAAGAAGAAGAAGAAGAAGAAGAAGAAGACATATTGCAGAAATTGTAGATAAATTGTAGATAAATTATAGATAAACTGTAGAAAAATTGTAGATAAATTGTAAGCTGTTTTTTGCAGAAGATTTTGTAGAAGTTTTAGTCGTTTTGGATTTGTGAAAACAGAAAACAATGCATCTACAATCAGAATACAAATAATCTACAATTTATCTACAAGATATCTACAAATTGGATACATTGAATTTTAATATCACAATTCTCATTTCAATTGTAGCATAATTGGCATTTTCGACATAATTGCGTTTTTTATGAAGATTTGTAGAAGTTTTAGTCTTCCCAACCTACAATTTATCTACAATTCTACAATTTATCTACAATTTCTGGAAATATGTCTTCTTCCTTTTCTTCTTCTTCGAGTTTCAATCTGAAATTCAGTCAAAACCAAGTCTAATCTTCACCAATACCCCTCAAAATTGAGATATAAACTCCAAACCATATTCCCGATTATTTTCAACAACACCTAATCCAAACAAATAATGATTTTTGAAAACCCAAATTTGAATTCAAAGCTTTCAATCTTTTTAATGGCTATCAATGGTGGAAAATATCTGGAAGAATATTTACTTCCATAATTGTAGCGCGCCTAAATAGGAATATCTGGAAGAATATGATTTGATCTGATTTACGCCAAATCTTTTTAGAATATTCTGTTCCTCAATTTTAGCTCGACAAATTAGGAAGATTCAGCTACTATTAATTAGTATTTAATGATTGGTATAATAACTGTAGAAAAAATGTGGACATGGCGGGTAAATTAGAAACTATGCACATTTTTGGTAATAAGGTTTCATATTTGGTATAGGAAAGAAAAAATCTCAAAAAAATTATAGTTAATACTTTAAGGTCAACATATAAAATTAGGACAAAAAAGAAGTTGGATTAGGACTAAGCTTCTTTGTTGCCGTGTCTTATTTTTCTCTACCATTGGTAAGTTTTCACGCCAAAATATCGATGGCACTCGGATCATAAATAAATGTGTAACTACAAAAAGAAGTACATATAATGGTGAGAGAAATAGAAAATTGATATTTGTGTAGTTCAACTAAAGGGTCTAAGGACTAAGATAAATATTAAGTATACATTCAAATTATTATAAGGCTATGTTTTTTCTTTTTCATGTGCATGGTGCACTGACCGACTTTATGTATTCCAAAAACAAATTATTATTCAAAATAAATAATATTAATATCAGATAAAATTTCAACCACTATTAATTAAATTGGGAGTTTAGCTTTTAAGTGAGATGAAATGTTTTATACTATAGAAAGGATTGAAATGTATCTAATATTGACTCTACTGTTCGTTATTAATAGAATTCTTAAAGGTAACCATGTAGGATAACTAACATGTAATATTATGTCCTAAAACTAATAGGATTATAAGGCTAATATCTTGAATTCCGGTTATGTCCTTTTATTATGAGTTATTATGTTTAATATTATAAGGTTATTTTTGTAAACCGATATTGTATTCATGCTTTTATAATAACTAGTCTCTATGTACGTGCCCTGCACGTGTATCCTTCGTGAATTATAGATTGCAAAATTTATATGGCGTAATAAAGTTGACAACTAACACGTATGGAGAAATTCGTTTATTGTTAGCATATTTGGGTGTGCTTCTTCATAGTAATTACTGTTGTCATGGACAAAATCAAGACTAATAAAATATTTAGGAGCAGATATAATGAGAACTGTACAAGTAAATTACATTATATTGTACGATATAACAACTTTTCTCTTGTCAAATGCTAAAAGCAGAATGCATCGCCTTTTGCCACCCAAACCACTCCAATAAAAAAGGTGATAGTCATCGGTTTACACTGTTCTTCTCTGCGTAGGATTAGTATGACTTTCAAACTTCAACCATAGCTAGGACACTTGATAGGTTTTAGATTCCGTTCAAATACATATTAGGAATAGATTTTGAATGTTACAGTTTTGTCCTAACATGAAACTATTTTATTGAACAAATAATTTATCTTCTAAAGGGCATAAAAGTCTACTAATATTTTAGGAATATTTTGGTCGTTCAATATTTAGTGTGAAACATTAGTGCTTTTATAATAATTAGATATAGATAGATGAAAGAATTTGATAAACAAAAACAAAAAATCAAAACATGATAAGGTAAGTCCAAAACAAGTTCTTTCACGATAAGGTGCAGACTGTGAACTGCAAAAGAAAGGAAGTGAAAAAGAAAATGGCATTAATTCAACTACAATACTCCATTTTAAAGTATAACAAACAGCTCCAAATTCCATCTTTTTCTACTGCCTCTCAACGCTCAACAATTCTTAGAATTAATGCAGTTTCCGTCAACGGACAACAACTAATACAATCAGGTAAAGTCCGTCCCATATTACCAAAAGAAGCAGCTGCAGCCATTGAAGATGAAGGTTATATTTTGCTTGACATTAGGCCAGAATGGGAAAGAGCTAAAGCATGTGTTTCAGGTTCGTTACACGTGCCACTTTTTGTAAAGGACATGGATAATAGTCCCATTACTTTGTTGAAGAAATGGGTTCATTTTGGTTATATTGGGGCTTGGACTGGCCAGAATTTTACAGTGATTAACGATGATTTTGTTAAGCAAGTTGAACAGCAAATTCCTGATAAGGATAATGCTAAGGTCCTTGTGGCTTGTGGGGAAGGACTCAGGTAAGTATCCTCATTAATCAGGATTTAAGTTATATACAATGACAGTACAAGGAGTTTTTATAGTAACAACATTTTTTTACCTGTTATAGCAAGTTATCTGTAGTTATATTTAGGTAATTTGTTTGTGTAAATTTTTTAATTTTTTTTTACGATTTTACATTGTCATCGTAGAGAAGATAAGATCAATTCATCAAGCTATTGCTTTCATTCATCAATTTATAGGCTGATGACCTGAATCGGACCTAGGATTAAATACAGTGCTGACATCTCTTACATATGTGTAAATGTTGTAGTATTCTTTTTAAATTCTGTAGAAATACTATAATAGGTGTTCAAGGAAGTGGATACACCTGCATTTATTTTCTGAAGCAGCCTGTCGCCGTAATGTAATTTAGCTTCTTCCAATTTGGATTTTTGAAAGTTTACCATATTTGAATAGGGCAGCTCGGTGCCCAAAACATCCCGCATTCACGCAGAGTCCAGGGAAATGGCCGTGCCCAGAGTTGCATAATAGGGGTGTGCATTGTTTGCTGTTTAGTTAGCAGGACATTGTTTAGGCTGGATCAGCATAGAAGAATTTACAATTTAATGTTTGTTGATTCAGAATCAATGCTGTATATACACATTTTTTGAAAAAAAAATTCACCTATACATACAGGCCGAGAGTCGATTAGTAATCGATGTATAATCGATTGATAATTGAGGCATAGTTAATTGATTGCTTGAACCGAGGGTCTATCAGAAACAACCTCTTTGCCTTCACAAGGTAGGGGTAAAGTTTGCGTACACACTACCTTCCCCAGACCCCACCTATGGGACCACATTGGGTTTTTGATTGATGCATAGTTAATTGATTGACATGTACTCTATTTCTGTTTGCAGTATAATTTAAGTATGCTCAATTGTTCAACTACATAAGGCTAGAAGTTTTGCCAGTGTGCATTAGTTTCAGATATATATTGGACAAGTCTGAACTTTATGGCTGCATCCGTAGGTCATTGATGGCTATTTCAAAGTTACATAAGGGAGAATACAAGAATTTGGCGTGGTTAGTTGGTGGATTTACTCGTGCTTCTGATAGCGATTTTCCAGCAGTAGAAGGCCCTGAAAAGTTACAATATGCTACCATAGGAGGTGTGTCATATTACTTACTTCAATTGCTTGTATTGCTTAAAGTTGTGGGGAAGGAAAGTTGACATAATTTCCCATGATGGTGTGTATTATGATAATAATTAAGCAGCTGAAAGTTAGACTATGTGAATTGAAGTGTTCCTCATTTTGTTTTTGCCTTCTTTTTGCTTAATAACAAAAGATTGCTGGTGCTCCAAATCTATTAACACATTTTTACAAGTGAACCATTAACTAATGCATTAGAGTAGTCTGTCTATATCACACCCTTAGGATGCGGCCCTCCCTTGGACTCTGCGTGTACACGGGATGCCTTGTGCACCGAGCTGTCCTTAACCGTTAACTAATCTCATGAAATGCAAATATTTTGGAATTTCAAGTGCATAACTTGAATGGTTCCTTTATCCCCTATTTCTAGGAGATCATCAGCGGTTACCCTTGCCTCTAACAATCTTTGGAAATGGAGGCGCCCTCCCAACTAAGCAAGCCTCGCTTGTCCATAGCAAGAATGGTAGGACAAAAAAGTTGAACTTTGCACTTAAAGAACTCCAACTTTAGGAGATGATTTGTCTGATAACTGATTTATAAGATCCAATACATATTTCGGATATACAATGAAAGGTGCAATTTTCTAGTCTATTGTGAAACATTATTTTACAAACTCGAAGCGCATAAGTAGTTTAACAGAAGGATATTTCTCTCCCTTTTCATTGTAAAGAGGTACTGCTCGTATTCCTGTTCCGAGCTCTGAAACAGGAATGCAAGTTTGTCCACCAAAATCATCGATCTCTGACATATCATACTCATGGACTTCTACACGAAGCAATGCAATCTCTGGAACTGTCAATGGGAACTCAAATTCATCATTCCATGTTGGTACCCAGTCATCCTCTATTGGCCTGGTTTTCTTAACTCCTGAATCTGCAGGAACTCCAGCAATACCAATCTACATCACATGGAAATGGAGTTAAAACTGAAACAAATCCATCTTAAACCAAAAAACAAATGCAAATATATTAGGCCAACCTTGACATAGAAGTCTGGTGGAGAATATATATCAAAGTGTGTACGTTTAAAGTCCAAATGCCAACCTCTTCCCATGTATATTTTCACCTGAAAATTAAACAATGCTAAGTCCTATTACATATGCTCTAATATATGCAGATAATTCACTTATCTCAAATAAAGATGATCTGTTCTTCTACCTTCAGGGTGGTTTTCACTGATAAGAGCCGTTTCGGATCATGGACCTCATTATTTGGACCGGATTTTAAGAGAAGTTCTGGTTTTCTGACATAACCACAGCCACCATTTGCTCTGAACATCCCTTGCATTAACCACAAAGGCCTTCCATTTCCCTGGTGCAAGAAGACAATTGCATAACTACACAGTGACAACGATACAACGAAAAAAGAAATAGCAAGGAACTTCTTAGGAACCTGCATGTTAAATGCAACCATCTGAGCTCCATGCATCCATCCTATTAGTGGATTGTAATTGGAAGAGTCGACTCGTATACCTTTTGGATATACTCTTACCAAATTTCTCTGAGTAAACCTTTATGTAGAAATTCAACCGTGCAAGATGTTGAAAGACAAATTAATTAGTCAGCTCTGAGAAAGGAAAACAATGAACTGTTTTCTTGAACAAACAACAACATGCACACCAAAGGCTTCAGTAGTTTCCGGTCCAACAAAATTTTCAAAAGTAAAGCAGAACTAGGCCACCAAAATTCTGAAATACCAAGTATAGTCAACGGGAGGTCTAATATTGTCTTTGTGTAAGTAAGCATAGCATATCATAGACATTCATGTACACGTAGACACAACGTCGACAAAAGAACAGAACTTTTGATTTTGCGTTCACCTGATTAACTCTTTCCCATGTTTGAGGGCAACATTTGTGAGCTTTTCTTCATTCAAGCTAATGCGTTTCACCTTAATAGGATCTATAGTTAGCCATTCACTTGTTGGACCTTTTGATTTTGCTCCTTGAATGGCAATCAAATGTTTATACTCAGGAGCTGTATTCTGCTGTATATTGGGGTTCTCATGAATAGAATCAGGTTCCTCATCTTGGCATTCTCCATTCTCTTTGTTCTGCAAAGTGGTATAATTTAGTTTAAATAGGAGAGTGTCCAAGGGCTCAGTTTTGATAATGATCAAAGGGCAGCCAGTGCACTAAGCTCCCGCTATGCGCGGGTCCGGGGAAGGGCCGGACCACAAGGGTCTACTGTACGCAGCTTTACCCTGCATTTCTGCAAAAAGCCGTTTCCACGGCTTGAACCCGTGACCTCCTGGTCACATGGCAGCAACTTTACCAGTTACGTCAAGACTCCCCTTCAGTTTTGGTAATGATCAAAACAATGATTTTCTTTTAGTTATTTGTATGAAGCCAACCTCATATAAAGCTATTAGTTTTTGACTAAGATCGGAAATTTCTGCTCCCCATGCTTTCTCCTCTGATGATTTCTTCCCCTTCTGAGAACCATTATCTTTCTCATTTGGTTTCTTAGTTTCAAGATATTCTTTTGGTGGTTTAGTTGAGATGATAACCCGCCCCTTCAACGATTCTGGAGAAGGGAATTCTGACAAGCATTCTGCCCCACAGGTGAACAGCATATCTCCAAATATTTGAGTGACCATCTAGAGATAAACTCAAAAATGGTTAAACCGACATTAAAACTTAGGAGCATGAGACATGATCTTGGTGCTTTGTAGTAGGCATAAGCTTACCTCAGCTACTTTAGCCTGAAGATTAGGAGTGAGGTGGTCTTCTAGAGTTAAAATTACAGGATATTCAGATGCCACAAAAGCATGTTCCTTTATTGATTTCAAACATCGGATAAGTTCCACTGGAGGTGTTAGTGTCCTGCATTTTCAAAACGTTTCGATAAAAAATGGAATTGGAAAAAGGAAAAAGGGTATCAGGGCTAGTCCTTAGATACTGTTGAGTGTTGAGTGAAACATGTTGAATCGTGACCCTCTTAAGCTTTTAGAAGCACACTTTTAATTGTATCTTCAACACGTCTCCTCGCATGAGAATTTGATTTTTTTTTTTTTCATGGCAGAGCAAATGAGAAATTCTTTTTGGTAATGGATGACAGTTAGACTTAAACTCAAGACCTTTATCGATAACATATTGAATTGTGTGACCATCTCATCTAACGACCCTTCTTTTAACAGATAGTTGAACAATGAAAACTTTTTGAGCATATATATGCGAAATATAATGTTACTCCGCCTTTATGTTTGCAATATGCAAGAGGAAAGTGACGCATTACCCTCCATGAAGGATATCCACATTGTCTTTCGAGGAATTCGGCCACATGTCTAATTCAATAACTCGGACACCTCGCTGCAACGCCTTTATTATAGGCACATCGCTGCAGTCACTATTGAGTTGATTTCCGGTGAGATAGGTATTGTGACTGGTGTAAATGAAATAGTGAGACAATGGAGCAGTCATGTCATGGTGCACCTGGAATGCAAAAACTAGAATTATTCATGGACATTATAATGAAATGAAAAATTAAGCTGCTAAGCTTCAAAGAAATTCGGAAGAGAAAAGATAAAAAGTAGTGTCAGATTATAGACTTAAAGAAGTAGATTGAATTTATTTTGCCCTTTAGGCAGAAGGAAGAATATGAATAATCGGCTGATTGAATTCCTCTCTGCCCTTCGAGGTAGGGGTAAGGCTGCGTACATCTTATCCTCCCCAGACCCCACTTGTGGTAATTCACTAGGCATATTGTTGCTGTTGAATTCCTCTTGGCAAACCTTGTTTTCTGATTTTGTTCAATCTTTCAGAACTTCCATAGTTACTAGATGCAGTGAAAGCTGTGTTATTTGGAAAAAATTAAGTGATAATTTCACTTGCATAGAAATGAAAGAAATACACTTCTAGCTAGTTATATCCTAAGTTGCTCGGACTCGGGTGCGGATATCCGGTACGGGCATGGATCCGAGTGCCGGATTCTACAAAATCTAAATTTTAAGATCCGGGGGTGCGGATCTAGGTATGGATATAGGTGGGGAGATTCGGCTAGAAAAATTCAGAATTATAAAAATTAGAGATATAAAGAGAAAAACAAAGCCATTAAAGGCCTTCCACTAACTCTCTATCTATATCGGTGCTACTGTCTACCAGAAGTACGAACTCAGAACACGGCCCCTTGAATTCTTTGTTTTTCTGAAACACAAAGCAGCAAATATGAGACAAAAGTACTACAATATTGAAGGTATGTCATTTTCCGTGTCTTAAATCTGTTTTATTTTTAATTTTGAGAAATCAAAATCTCAATTTCCCCCAAATTTGTCGATGGACTCAGGTCAAAGTAGCCGAAGTTAGTTGACCGAATCCGGGACGTATCCTGTTCCCGCACCTGCTCCCGTCCCGTGTCGAGACGTGTGCGGCACATAAAACGAAGAGCCCCCGCAACTTAGGTTATATCTAGTATATGGAGTTCCAGAATGGGCTTTTTACAGATTTGATAATCACCTTCCTGATTACTTTTGCCTTTACTGGTTTGCTGTTCTTTCTGTTAGGTGTTGTACTGATTTTCTTACCATATTGAATTTTCCTATTATTAGAAGGAAACATAGATCTCCCATATTTAGCTAGTCATTTTTCTTGTATGAAAAAGTTTGGACTTTTATAAATTGATGATCCTTCCTTCTCATTTAGGAGCATCCACACAGTAGCCATTTGGGGTTTGAGAGTCGTGTTTAGGGAGGTAACTTTACGGGACAAGTGTTAGTGTGTCACTTGTGTTTGCCTCTTCGTGAGGTTGTTCTCTCGATGTTTTGTACTCTCTTTTTTATTTAGTGGATTGCTCATCTCCGCCGTGGATGTAGGTCAATTGACCGAACCACGTTATATGTTTGTGTCTCTTTTGGTATATTTCTCTTTGTTGTCTGATGTGTCGCCGTTCAAGATTTGCTTTGCTAGCTTCCGCATGACACCTGATTTTTTTTGGTCCTAACACTTTCTTGTGCAGTGTAGTGAAATAGTTCCATGTACTACTCTTTTTCTAATAAAAGGTGGAGAACAGAGATTGCATTAAAATAATGATTTGACCAAAATATTTAGAACTGAATAAAGACAAGTAGAAACTGAACTTTATAATATAAGTCAAGAAAGCAATATCTAATACTATACAATAATCAATAGTCAGAAAGTCTGTTTTCTGGCTTTGTGCA